AAAATTTACAAAGCAAATATTTCCAGATCTATATATGGAAATAGATAAATAGAAGCACTTTGTACTGGAGAAAATTTTGTTCTACTTTTTAAAATTGAGGTATGATTCATACACCATAAAACCTTATCATTCAAAGTAATTCAGTAGTTTTTAGTATAGTATGTCACAAGGTTGTGCAACCATCACCAGAATATTTTCATCACTCCAAAAAGAAACCCTTCACTCGTTAGCAGTCACTCCTCATTCCTGGTTTCCCCCATCCCCTGGCAACCACAAATCCACTTTCTTTCTCTATCGATTTTCCTATTCTCGATATTTCATGTACATGAGATCATACAATATGTGGTGGCCCTTTGTGTCTGGCTTCTTTCCCTTAACATGTTTTCAAGCTTCATCAGTGTTGCAGCATGTATCAATACTTCATTCCTTTTTATAGCTGAATAATATTCCACTGTACAGATATACAATATTTTGTTTATCCATTCATCAATTGATGGGTATTTGAGTTGCATTTTACTTTTTGGCTATTATGAATAATGCTACTATGAACATTCATGCACAGGTTTTTGTGTAGACATATGTTTTCAATTCTCTTTGTTATATACCTAGAAGAGGAATTGCTGGATCATATGGTAATTCTATGTTTAATTTTTTGATGAATGATCAAACTGTCTCCAGTGTGGCTGCACTAATTTACATTCCCACCAACAAGGTATGAGGGTCCCAAATTCTCCATATCCTCACTAACATTTGTTTTTAATCTCTTTTTTTGATTATAGTCACCCTAGTGGGTGTGAAATGTTATCTCACTGTGGTTTTGATTTGCATTTTTCTAAAAATTTGTTCTCTTAAACATTGAATCTAAAAATGTAGCAACGAAGTAATGTAATTGGATTTTAAGATAACAAAAATCATCTCTGAAATTTCATGGGCATCTCTGCTTTCATTTCCAGAGAAAGATGGCAGTGACTTTCAGCAGGTGTCATGGAAGGGTAATTTTTCTTCTTGAGGCGTATCAATGTATTTACTTCTTCAGCAGGTTCTAGCAAATAAACCATTAGTTTGTTCATAAGGCTTCCTATGTTGCTGTTATTTTCTGAAAAGTATTGTATTAAGACTTTTTTTGCTGAAGCTTTTTTTTAAAAAGTATGAGTTGCTATTCAATCTTTCTAAACATCTTGCATAAAGTAAAGAGACAGGAGAGTTTTAAAATATCTTGTATGTCATGGACTTTGTTTTTGGTTGAAGAGTCCTTACCTTATACTGTGCTGAAATTTCTTTCTAAATACAGAGCTGAAGGTGGTGAATGAAGCATTCGTAATTCCTAAGCCATTTATGGCTTTAGCTGTGTTTGTTCTTTCTTTGCCAGTAACAACTGCATTGCACCTTTATTTCCTAATTTTTCATTTTATAAATATCTGTTAGTTTTCTGTGCTAGACTCAGAAATCATGACAAAAAAAATAAAGAAGCAACATTGTTAAATTCATCATTAATCTATCATGTTGCTGAACTTAAAGAAAACTTTGATTTGTTTCTGCATGCCCAAATATCTGATATACAAGATATGGATATTTAATAATATCACTAACTGATACACAGCAAAATATAATTCAGGGAAAAAGATTTTAGTATGTTTTTTGGAAGGAACTTTGCTCCTGGGATTCATAACTTGGGCAGATTTCTAAAATTCTTTGGCAGCCCCAAACTACTGAAAATGGCATGATATAGCAATTATTGTGAGAAACTTCTTATAATATTTAGCCTTGATAGACTGAAAGCTATAAGAAGTTGACTTCTTAAAGTATTATTACAAGTCTATCCTTTGAAGTTTGATTAGTAAGAATAAAATGTGCCTATTTTTTGTCTAACACTATCATTTTTCTTCATATGTTATCTATTCTATCTGAATAAAAAATAATTTACCATAGATGTAGCTGCCCATAATTTTGGTAATTTTCCTCCTCATGAAATTTTGAGGTGACAAGAATTCCCAGAGAAGCCTTTTTCTTCAAAGACTCATGGCCTGAATGAAATCAAATAATAAAATTAAATTTGGTTTATAAAAGGTATGTCGTTTAATGTCATAAATGACATTCATCGAACAATTCTAAAATTATAAAAATTGTGATATAACATAATCTTTATATGCCTTTTTATATATTTAAATTTGTGTTAATGATATACGGTATAATATTTAGATATTGTATAATATGTATTTTATATATCAAAATTATATATTTTATATACATACATTGGCTTAAAAAGAATATCATGTTCTTCCTAAAGTTACAAAACTAGTGTATTCTATTAATATTCATATGAACTGTCAATCTATTTCCCAATGTGCTTAAATATTTGAAAGTTCTTAACAATTGTTTTTAGACATTAAATTAATAGTTTTCGTAATAATCATTGCTTTATTTT